GGAGCACTTCGGCGGAGCGCTCAGCCGCAGGCCAGGGCTCCAGCAGCGACGAGGACGACGAGGACGAGCATGACGGTGTCTTCTCACAGTCCTTCCTGTAAGAGCGCCCAGTGCTGGCGGAGCACTGCCAGGGGCCGGGCTACCCGGGGCACAGCCAGTTTTATACCCACAAGCCCATCGCAGGGAGAGGGGGTTCCATTAGAAATCCAGCCCAGTTCACCATGCTAAAAAGCAAAACAAAATATGAAACCCACTTTTACAGAGTGACCAAATGCAAACCAAAGGGTTCCTCCCTTTCCCCCCATTATTTTCAAAAGATCTCCAAAACCCAAGCCTGGGAGAAAGGAAAAATAGAAGTTTCTTCCAATACCTCATCTTAATATATTTAATACACTTCTTTAAAAGGTCATTCTTTTAAATAAGGGCTTCCAACCCTGTGGAACATTGAAGAACTAATTTGGAGTCTTGATACAATGCTAACCGCGGCTCCAGAAAAGGTTACCAAACCAATAATAATTAAGATCCTAAGCTCTACTCATCTCGGAAGCCAGTCATTTAATTTCATGACTTTACTTCATTGTGTCAGATTGGATACAGTTTATCATAACTCTCAGCTATTAAATTTCTTTCAGGAAAAGTACTCAGGCCAATTTTTATTTAAATTGAGTTCTGTGTTTCTTCATATATTAGGGGAGTACAAATCAGCATGTTATTGTGGACAGATTTATGCCTTACAGGGTCATGGTGTGATATCTCTAGCTGCTGTGCTTGCTAATCATTAAGTTTTGATTTTCAAAATTATAATAGGGATTTTGGTTTCTTTAGTAGTTTTCTATTTTTCTTTTTAAGACCTGCTTCAGATTCTGAAAGTGATATCATCTTTGACAATGAAGATGAGAACAGTAAAAGCCAGAATCAGGTAGATGTATAAATAGAAATTATACCATTTTATTCATCATGGGGTGAGTATGTAAGAAAACTAATGTTTAATGTTACAAATCTCAGGTGAAATAACCTTAATCTGATAGGCAAATATAGAAACCTTCAAGTTAAAATACTATTTAAAATATATGCTACTCACATGTTTATTTATAGGACTTAATTTATCCACCTAATAAAACATGCCTGCTTTTAGAAAAGAGAAGTAAATTGATACCCTGTATTTTTCAAAAATAAAACCTTTTCCTTGAGGATTTTGGGAAACTTTATATAATTGGGGATGAGGATTGAATGTAAATTAATTGAATAACTAAACAGCCTAATTGTGGAGTTAAAGTAGGTCTCTTTCCCACATCAATTAATCTTGATTCTTTATTTTCATTATCCACCCCCCAGAACAGTGTTTTAACACTGAGCCATAACCTGTAGCAGGTTATGAAATCAGTTTCGAGAATCATAACCAGCTTTATTTTATTCTTAATGCTCTAGAGAGAAGTATAGAATACCAAAATGTGTCACAATAATAAAGATAAAACTGTGAAATTTGTCTCTCATGAGTATGTCCACTTGGTGTGATATAAAATATATTTCTTTCTTTATGGGGATCATGGTCATAAAAATTTGAGAAACACTATGCTAGGCCTTGAACCCCACTCAATTATGTTTTTTTCCTCTGCCCGGGCCAGCAAAGCCCCTTGATGCTGGTACATGGAGTCCAGGATGAAGCTTTTTAACAACTAGGGCCATCAGGTGTTGATATAGAGAAGTGTTCTGCACATGGGGGTTCAATACAATGATTTTATTACCAGAAATGAAAATATTGTCATTAGTAATTACAAGAGGCATCTATAGTAGGTAAAGCAAAATCTACTTATAGATTCTGTTAGATAAGCAGGTAAATTGATTTGAAAGAGGTTTAAATGCATTAACCAGCATTTTTTATAAGTACTTTCCTTTCTATTAAAATCACCTTTAAAATCATCCTCTTGATTTAAATTTATGAATTGTAAATTAATCAGAAATAATTGTATAAATACTCTAAACTGCTAAAGCAAACATTCTTTGGTTTTAGCATTAGTTAATGCATTTAATTATCATGATGTCACCAGATTTACACACCTGGCTTTGCTCAGTTAAGGACACTATCCTTCAGGCATTCTAATTAATGGGGAGAAGCCTCCAGGAGATTAACAATCTTCTACAGATAATCCCCGGAGTATATAAATGATTCAAGAGGAGGATGTGATTGTTTCCAGATCAGAATTATTTCTTTGATAAAGGAAAAATGTTGAAAAGTGCTTCCACAAAGAAAGTGTAAGTCAGAAATTGTCAAGGCCTCAGTCCCAAATGGCAGATTTTTTTTAAAATTTACTGAGGCCGTTTTGAACTGGCATATCCTGTCTAATAATAGACAAACATGGTAATTAACCATACCTCTGCTACGCTTCCCATTGGCTAATCAGCAGGATATGCAAATTAACTGACAACAAAGATGGCGGCCGGCAGCCACCCAGCTGAAGCAAACATGAGGCTTCCTTGCTCCAGTGATGGAGGAAACCAAGGTTCCCCGCCTGCTGCAGCCCAGCTCTGAGCTCCAACAACGTTGCAATTATAGAAGCTAAACAAATCCCAGATACCTGCTTTCAGCCAGCCGCGGCCTCTGAGCTGGAGCGCAACAAAGTTTCAATTACAGAGGGTAAATAAATCCCAGAATAAAAATAAAAAGCAAAAAAGGAGAGACTGGGAGCTTCAGTTGCGGGTTTGGCCTGCCTGAAAACAGCCCTCAGCTCCTCATCCAGGCTGGCCAGGCTCTCCAGTGGGGACCCCCACCCTGAAGGGGGGCGGGGCAGC